AAGGTGATCTATCTTTTCATTAATTTAACATCCCCTTATAATAAAACATTATATGATCCAAACGCCCTCTATTGGTTTTGAAAGATTACCGGAATCTTATATTACTTGACAACTAAACGTGGTAATCAAGTAATATAATATGACATTACCTCCCTATTATCCCCAACCAAACACACCCTGAGTGTTTATGAATTTTTCTAGAAAAACTTTAGTGTAAAATGCATTATTTTTTGTTGGGGTTTCTTAAGCAAGTTTTTGTTTGGTTGTTGAGAAAACTTGGAATAAAAAATTTGGACAAAAACTATGGCAATAGTTGTGTGATGTTGAATTGAAAGGACATAATTTTCTTCAGAAAATTTAATAAAATATTAAAAAGGTTAAAGGAGATTGATTTTTAAAAAATGGCATAATAGTAATAAATGGAAAATAAGAAAAAACAAAGCAAATGTACTACCTCATCTCTTAATAAAAGTCCTTATAACCTAATATGTCAAAACATGCAAATAATGGGTTCAAACCTCAACTTTCGCATCTATTATTTGCTTCTTTATTTTAAATAAATAATCAAATAACTTAGATATTTATTAAAGCTACCTAGAGTACATTGTGGACATATTTATCTTACAAGCACCAATCGATCGGATCTAGTTTAACTTAGTTGGCCTTGTCCATTAACTTTTGTCCAATCCACTAAAGGGCTAAAGTTGCACTTTTGAATTAAATATACGATAAGGAAAAAAATTTCTTAATTTATGGAAGAATTAAATTAAGAGTTGATCTATTGACATTTCACTAATGGACTAAAGAAACCTCACTTTATTACCGATATGCAAAGAAACCTCACTTTATTACCAATATGCAATCAACCATGCCGATTTGATAAATCAAAACAAAAGAGATTATCTATTGGGATAGGTTGCTTGGCCTAAGTCAGAGTATGTATATAGACAAGGTACTGAAGAGATTCGGTATGGAAGAATCCAAGCAGGGATTTCTTTCGATGTCACATGGTGTCTATCTCTCTAAAGATATGTGTCCTAGAATACACGATGAGAGAGATAGAATGGAGAGGATCTCATATGCGTCAACAATTGGATCCATGATGTATGCCATGTTATATACTCGGGTTGATGTCTCATGTACATTAAACATTTATAGTCGATATCAATCGGATCCAGGCGAGCGACACTGGATAGTTGTTAAGAACATCCTTAAGTACCTGAAAAGGACTAAGGATATGTTCTTGGTTTATGGAGGGGAAGATGAGCTCACTATAAGAGGATACAGTGATGCTAGTTTCCAAATGAATAAAGATGATTATCGCTCGCAATGCAGGTTTGTATTTTTTCTCAATGGGGCTCCAATGAGATGAAAGAGCTCTAAGCAAAGCACTGTAACATATTCTACAACAGAAGCCGAGTATATCACACTGTCCGATGCGGCCAAAGAGGCGGTTTGGATCAAGAAGGTTGTCACTGAACTTGGTGTGGTCTCCTCTATTGTTGATCCAATAGATGTCTATTGCGACAACAATGGAGCAATAGCTCAAGCAAAGGAACCACAGTCTCATTAGCGATCCGAACACATACTTAGGTGGTTTCAACTTATTAGAGAAATAGTTGAGAGGAAGGATGTGCAGATTTGCAAAGAACATACTGATGACAATCTCCTTGATCCACCGACAAAGCCTCTATCGCAATAGACATGAAAAGCACTTAAGGTCATTTGGTATTAAATACATGAATGATTGACTATAGTGCAAGTAAGAGATTGTTAGAGTAGGTGCCCTAAAGCCAATCCATTTTGTAAATGTTGACTTTTGTAATAATATTTATAATCAATAAAAGGCATTTCCTACATTATACAATTTGTATTTAATATATGTTATAATGTATGTCCTTAGAATGGTAGAATTGTTATGAGGGTATTAAGTGTTTCAAATCTCGATAGTGAAGACCCTATGAGCACATATGGTGACCATTCTAGAAACGTCTGTAGCCCTAATATTATTCTGACCAAGGACACATATAATACGGTAAGGCTATCATAGTGTTGAGTGACCCTGTCGAAAAAAAGTGACTGATTTCACTTGTCAAGTTTGTTTGTCGACAACCTAGTGTAACACATAGGTGCTTATCATGGGCAAGTTCACTAGACAGACCCACTAGAGGATTCCACATAGATGGTAATCCAATGTCTATGGAATAAATCCTCTAATGGATGGTGTTACATGTGATCCTTAGACTGGAGATCACCGGAGCGCCTTGTGGACTAATTGTTATTGTTTGACACTAGCCCAATGTAGTTATACTCAGAACTATCAGAACGGTGGTGATTGGCTACATCGAGAAGTGTATTAAGACTATGGTGGATCAATAGAGGATTCATCACTCTTGGGTACGGGAGAAATTATCTCGCGGAGTAATTCGGTAGATGGCAACAACATTAAATCTATGGCCACAGTGGGATTGAGTTGTAGCTCAATCCAATCTATTCCGATCGTTGGTCCAATAACCGAAGACTGAGATATCAAAAATATCCAAGGTTGACACTATTTCTATGCCCTAGCCTTGATGAGATAATAGATGATGAAAGGATTGAATTGCACGGTAACCATATCGTTGATGGGTAAGCTATTTCATTGAATTCGAATCTATCGGGTGGCCATGATACCTTGCTAGAGGCCAATCTTGGTCTGTGTTTAGTGAGACGATTGATTGGTGTCAATCGTGAGACTACTCACTACTGATACGATGAGGAACCTTTAGGTCGCACACATAGAAGACAGATTAAGGATGGATAAGTGAGAGAGGCGTTTTCATCATTTATGATGAAAGGGTATTTTCATATTTTAAGATGAAAGGGCATTTAGATAATCTCACGGTGTAATTAAATTTGCTAAGGTTGTTGCCTATGTTTAATTTCATATGGAAATTAATTAGTGAGATTGTATATTTAAATATTTGGTTTATATATATACATATATACATACATACATACATACGTGTATATATATATATATATAATATATATATATAGTAATCTATATATATATATATTATATATATATAATACATATTATTTAATATTAATTTGATAATATGGAATTCAAATTTGATTTTTTGAATTGAAATGCTTTGTTTGGTATTTGGAATAATTTGTAGAATTAACTCTTTGTAATAATGTTTATTAACCAATAAAAAGAATTTTCTACTATATCATGTAAATCATAATTATATGTATTGATATATGTCCTTAGGATGGTAGAACCGTGACGAGGGTATCAAGTGTTTCAAATCTTGATAGTAAGAACCCTACGATCACATATGATGGCCATTCTAGAAATGTCTGTAATCTCAGTATTATTTTGACCAAGGACACAAATAATATGGTAAGTGAGTTGTGGCCTAATTGCGCATTTGTGTTGTCGTCAAGTATAACACCACAATTGCACCCCGACTTGAATAAATTGAGTCACGGCGTGAAGTGGATTTTTTGGAAAAATTACACTAAGTGTTAGATTTCTTGAAAATTCAAACACATAAAATAAAATACACAAAATAACACACTCCGAATGTAATTAAAATAGTAAACTGAAGTAAAAATAAATAAATAAAAACAATAAAATAAAAACGAAACAAACAAAGAAAAAGAAACATTTGGGTTGCCTCCTGAAAAGCGCTTGTTTATCGTCTTAAGCTAGACAGGACGCTAAGTCGTCATTCAAGATCATTGAAGTACTCCACTTCCTTGTTTGGAGCATAATTTTCCTAGTAAGCGTTCAACCGGTGTCCATTAACTTTGAATTAGTTTCCCATCTTCAAGTTTTCTATCTTCATCGCTGCATAAGGGAACACTTCTTGAACTTTGAATGGCCCAATCCATTTTGACTTCAATTTCCCTAGAAAAAGATGCAACCGTGAGTCATAAAGTAACACTTTCATACTTGATTGGAATTCTTTTTGTCATATTGCTTTGTCATGGTACAACTTAGTTCTTTCCTTGCAGATCTTAGCGTTCTCATATGCTTCATTCCTAAGTTCATCTAACTCTTTTAGCTGCAATTTCCTTTCCTGTACAGCCTTGTCCATGTCAAGGTTCAATCTCTTGATCGCCTAACACGCCCTATGCTCTAATTCCATTGGTAGATGGCATGCTTTCCCAAAGACTAACCTATAGGGATGCATCCCAAGTGGAGTCTTGAAAGCTGTCTGATATGCCCATAGAGCATCATTCAGTTTCACTGCCTAATCTTTCCTTGATATGCAAATTGTTCTCTCTATAATGGCCTTGATTTGCTTGTTACTTACTTCTACTTGCCCTGAAGTTTGAGGATGTATGGAGTTGCCACCTTATGTTTAATGTCGTACTTCTTCAACAATGCTACAAAAGACTTGTTACAAAAGTGACTCCCCCCATCACTAATAATAGTTCTAGGGGTACCATAACAGGTAAAAATAAAGTCCTTAAGAAAACCGAGTACAACCTTACTATCATTAGCCTTTGTGGCAATCGCCTCAATCCATTTTGAAACATAATCAACAGCGACAAGTATATAAGTATAACCAAAAGAGTTACGAAACAAACCCATAAAGTTGATGCCCCACACGTCGAACAACTCAACAGGCATAAATGTCGTGAGTGGCATCTCATCTCTCTTGCCAATATTCCTTGTATGTTGGCATCGATCACATCCCACACAAAAGGTAAAAGCATATTTAAATAAGGATGGCCAATAAAATCCAGATTGCAATACCTTAAGTGTTGTTTTCTTGCCACCAAAGTGTCCTCCACAAGGAGATTCATGGCTATGTCTTAAAATGTCTTGCTGCTCTAAGTTAGAGACACATCTCTTTATTACTTGATCTCAACAACTTTTAAACAAACAAGGATCGTCCTAGAAGTAATGCTTAATAGTGGATAAAAATTTCTTCTTTTCTTGCAAGGTCAAATCAGGGTCAATTATACCACAAGCAAGATGATTCACAATGTTAGCATACCAAGGTTTTTTTTCCAAGGATGGAAAAAAGTTGTTCATCAGGGAAGGTCTCAACGAGGGGGTACTTCCTATCTTGATTATGCTCTTCCTGGCTTGTTGCCTCCACAAGTCTAGACAAGTGGTCAGCCACTACATTTTCACTTCCCTTCTTGTCCTTGGTAGTCAAGTCCAATTCTTGCAACAATAAAATCCATCTGATTAACCTGGACTTAGCATCCTTTTTACTCAATAGATATCTCAATGCAACATGATCTGAAAACAAAATCACTTTAGAACCAATCAAATAAGAGCGGAATTTTTCTAAAGCAAACAGAATAGCCAATAATTCTTTTTTTAAAGGTCGAGTAGTTAATCTATGCATCATTCAAAGTATGACTTGCATAATGAATAACATGATGCAATTTTCCTACTCTCTATCCTAAAACTGCCCCTAATGTGTAATCAGAAGCATCACACATCAACTTAAATGGAAGTGACCAATCAAGTGACATAAGAATAGGTGCAGATGTGAGTTTATCTTTTAGAATATTAAAAGCAGTCAAACATTCATCATTGAAATCAAAAGGTGTTTCTTTAGCCAAGAGATTACACAAAGGCCTACTAATCTTAGAAAAATCCTTTATGAACCGCCTCTAGAAACCTGCACGACCAAGAAAACTTCGCACACCTTTCATAGATGTGGGTGGTGGCAATTTAGCAATCAAATCAACCTTAGCTTTGTCTACTTCAATACCCCTACTAGATACCACACGCCCTAAAACAGTTCCCTGCTTCACCATGAAATGACCCTTTTCCTAACTCAACGTCAAATTCATTGTAGCAACTGCTGAAAAACTAGTACAATGCATGCAATTTAACAATAGAAAATTGGGCCCAAAGCTTTCTTTTCATTACTAAACATGTGTCTTTTATACATAAAGAGTACTGTTTACAAAAAATGTATTTTAAAAGACAAAACAGGNAAAAAAAAAAAAAAAAGAAGGAATTTTAGCAGGACCAATGTAGGCAATGAAATGAAAATTTAAAAAATATTGGAAACTCATTCCTTTTCTTTTTTGTTTAGCTGCCATATTTGATCCTAGAATTAAATTAACGGGTTTAGAAAATGGTTTAGACACGTTAAGTGAAAATTTACGAGATGAACCAGAAGCATAGCCTCCTCTTCAGAAGCATCAACAACGAATATATTGTCCTTCATGCAGCTGTAGAGTAATAAGTTTCACCAATATTTGGGAACCCCGACGTGTTACCAGCAGATTCACAACAAAGAACCAACTTTGTTGTCTTAGAATATTGAAAAACCAGAAAATGTATTTTTCTGGTATAATCAAGACTTGTCCTAGATGTTTTCTCTATTCCTGTCTCAGTCGTCTCATCTGAACAAACATTTAGTCCAAGTGGAAGAATTTTAAATTAAAGGAGGACTAAACTTTCATAAAAAATGATTAAAGTCCTCACATGTCTTCGAGATTGAGAACGGTCGTGCCATCAGAATCAATACAAGGTTATCGACGATACTTAAATAGAATCATTTCAATTTTGTAATTTAGATTATACAGAAGAGAGAGGTCATAGTCAACCCTCAAATTAGTTGTTTTGTAAATTGTAACTTTGTAATTTATAAATTAACTGTCAATTATTGCACTCTTTTTTTCTTACTAAGTTTTTGTCCCAATTGAGTTTTTTTTAGTAAGGTTTTTAACGAGACAATAATTGTTGTAATTTTTTATTTTTTGATAAATGAATAATTCAAAATTTTCATTTATTACAATTTAATTGTATTAAAAATGAATTAATATTTGAAATGTTAACTAAAAAAATTAATCTAATTGAATTGATATTTGAACAGTTAGCTAAAAAAATTACAGAAAAGAAAAAAAATTAAAAAAAAAAATTTGAGGCGACCCAACCTAGCCTGCACAAAAACCCGACGGGTTAGGGTTGGCGGGTCAGGCTGGGCCAACCTTTTGGCCAAAGAGGTGGGTCGGGTTAGGCTTGGCCTACCATTTGGCCTAACTCGCCACGAGTTGGGCTGGGCAGGTTAATTTTCCACCTTTACGTGCAATGCAGAATTGCACTCAAACTTAGGAGCAAAGCTAACAAGGCCATGTAGTTTAACATGGTTATTTGGCTTAAGCATGATCAATTGGCTTCACAATCGATTGATTTAGTTAGATATGATTTATTTTTTCGTAATCCAACAACACAGAAAAGCATCAAGAACTTTTGCAACGAATAATCATATGAACAAAATAGAGACTAATACGAAACCAAGATAACAATAAACTCACAATCATAATCAGTAAAGTAAAAAAGTAATACACNCTTTTTTTTTTTTTTTTTTAACTAGAATAGATAGATATTTCCATCCCATCAATTTCTATGGTAAAGAAAATTATCCTAGTCCCTCTGAATTTACTAACGTAAATGCAGTAGATTCAAACAGTTTCACTTTTCCATTCTCAGAATCCGATGCATCTCATGATATTCCCCCTTCCTCCCCATGCTGCTATAGCTATCGGTGGTTTTAGAGGTCGTTCTCGTAATCGTCATCCTCGTCCAACTCCATCTCAGGTAGAAGCGGATTCATCAACTGTAGTCAGAACTAACGACAAGCACACATCAGACATTTGAGTGCATTTCGAAAAGTTTTACAAGACAAAAAACGAAGTTCAAGTGAAGAAAGTAAGATGCAAATATTGTGGAAATATTTATAAAGCTAATATAGGTAATGGTACTAGTACTTTAAAAATGCATGCTAGTAAACATATAAATCATCATGGAAATGAAGAAACCAATCAAACTCAAATAACTAGTATGGGTACTACTTGGCGTTATAATTCTGATGTGTATAGGGAACAATTAGCTTTATATAATGCTACAATTGATCAACCTATTAATATGACTGAAGATAAATATTTTGAAAGATTTATTAAAAAATCATTTTTTCTAGAATTTAAAACTTATTCTAAAACTGCAATTAGAAATGATTTAATAAAATTATTTAGGAAAATGAAATTAGAATTAAGAAATAAAATACATAGTTATCATGTTAGTGTGGCTCTAACCGCTGATATTTGGAATGGTAGAGTTAAACAAGATTATATTTGTGTGATTAGTCATTATTGTGATAACGAATGTAAATTAATAAATCTTTATTAGGATTTAGATTAAAAGATGTGAATCATAGTGGTCAACAAATTTATAATAAAATTGTTAAAGTTTAAGAAGATTATGATATTATTCACAAAATGATAAGTTTAACTTTAGATAATGCAAATGCTAACAGTAGAGTTATAGATTTTTTTTAAAAAATAAATTTTCCTTTTTATGATAATTTGAAGTTTTTTCACCAACGTTGTGTATGTCACATTATTAATTTAATTGTGAAAAGTGGTATTAAAAAAATTTGACATAATATTAATATAATTAGGGATTCTTTAGCTTGTATTACTAGTAGTAATAGAAGAAATACTGAATTTCAAAATGCTCGTATAAAATCAAATTTATCTTCTAGAACTTCTGCATTAGACATACATGTTAGATGAAATAGTATTTATTTAATACTTGATTCATGTTTACCTTATGCAAATTTAATTAGTTATTTTGAAACAAATAATAGGGGTCCTCATTATTTGGTAGATAATGATTGGCATACAGATCAAAAATTTCATTTTTTTTAAACTCTTTTATCAATCCGCTTTAAAACTTTTTTGTGTGTATTATCCTACTAGTCTATTGGTAATCTATACAATTATAAAAAAAAAAAAAAATCAGATTTATTTAAAAAAAAAAAAAAACAATGGAATTTTAGCAGGACCAATGTAGGCAATGAAATGAAAATTTAAAAAATATTGGAAACTCATTCCTTTTCCTTTTTGTTTAGCTGCCATATTTGATCCTAGAATTAAATTAACGGGTTTAGAAAATGGTTTAGACATGTTAAGTGAAAATTTACGAGATGAACCCGAAGCATAGCCCCCTCTTTAGAAGCATTAACAACGAATATATTGTCCTCCATGCAGCTGTAGAGTAATAAGCTTCACCAATATTTGGGAACCCCGACGTGCTACCAGCAGATCCACAACAAAGAGCCAACTTTGATGTCTTAGAATATTGAAAAATCAGAAAATGTATTTTTCTGGTATAATCAAGACTTGCCCTAGATGTTTTCTCTATTCCTGTCTTAATCGCCTCATTCGAACAAACATTTAGTCCAAGTGGAAGAATTTTAAATTAAAGGAGGACTAAACTTTCATAAAAAAATGATTAAAGTCCTCACATGTCTTCAAGATTAGGAACGGTCACGCTACCAGAATCAATACAAGATTATCGACGATACTTAAATAGAATCATTTCAATTTTGTAATTTAGATTATACAGATGAGAGAGGTCCTAGTCAACCCTCAAATTAGTTGTTTTGTAAATTGTAACTTTGTAATTTATAAATTAACTGTCGATTGTTACACTCTTTTTTTCTTACTAGGTTTTTGTCCCAACTGAGTTTTTTTTTAGTAAGGTTTTTAACGAGACAAAAATTGTTGTAATTTTTTATTTTTTGATAAATGAATAAATCAAAATTTTCATTTATTACAATTTAATTTATTAAAAATGAATTAATATTTGAAAGTTAACTAAAAAAATTAATCTAATTGAATTGATATTTGAAAAGTTAGCTAAAAAAAATTACAGAAAAGCAAAAAAATTAAAAAAAAAAAAATTTGAGGTGGCCCAACCTAGCCTGCACAAAAATTCAACGGGTTAGGGTTGGCGGGTCGGTCTAGGCCAACCCTTTTGGCCAAAAAGGTGGGTTGGGTTAGGCCTGGCCCGCCATTTGGTCTAACTCACCATAGGTTGGACTGGGCGGGTTAATTTTCCACCTTTACATGCAACGCAGAATTGCACTCAAACTTAGGAGCAAAGCTAACAAGGCCATGTAGTTTAACATGGTTATTTGGCTTAAGCATGATCAATTGGCTTCACAATCGATNGGGTGCACTTAGCAGCCTCCCCTCTTTCTTTTTACCTGCAAAATTAGACAAGGGCTCATTAGTTTCAGAATTGATATCCTTGATAATTATCTTACCACTCGTCAAAACTGTGACTGCTTTCACTTGCTCGGATTGGCTTGGTAACTTCCCAGGGACATGGCCTTGTAATGACTTTACAATTTGCCCTATCTAGACCTCCATCTTCCTTATGGATGCATCTTGTTGTTGGAATCTCTATTTGAAGTTCTGATTGTTCTTTTGATAAGCTTGAATGAAACTGTTCAATGTATCCTCCAATGATGGTTTCTTTGGTTGCATGATGTGTTCAGAACTTCCTTGCGACTGGTTGTTTCTCCATGAAAAGTTTGGATGGTTCCTCCACCCAGGATTGTATGTGTTCGAATATGGATTGTGGGGTCTTTGGTTGTAAGAGTTCATCATGTTCGTTTGCTCCACAGCTTCTAGAAAACTCTCACCTGAAGGACAAACATTAGTAGCAGGGCCAACATTACCACAAACAGCACATACCTCATTGGAACTATTCTGTCTTTGCCCCATCATCATGTTTCACATGGTCTTGAATTGCTTTGTCAATTTAGACACTTGCATTGCCAACTCAGTGTTAGCATTCACTTCATAGATTCCCTTTGCTTTCCCTCTAACATTCTTCTATTGTGAGTTGGCGCCAAGCATCTCATACAACTCATATGTCTCCTCTGTAGTCTTTTCTCCCATGGCACCACTTGCAACATTGTCAACTATGGCTTGGCAAGCCTTTATCAGTCTAT